GCAGAGACTCCCAAGGAGTCTCGCGCCCAGCGTGACTAGGGTCGCGCTCAGCGCTGAACCACCACTCAAATATTGCCTGCGCGCTTGGCGCGATTCTTTCCCCGCCCGCCGTGGACCAACCAGAGGCTCACCTTCTCAAGCTCGCCCGACGCACACATCTTTGCGTCCAACGAGCTTGTCAAAAAAAGAGCCCCCAGGTGGTCTCGCGCCTGGCGCGAAGAACCGCGCTCAGCGCGAGACTCGCCAGCAACCCATCCAAGTTCAAAAACTTCACAAATCCTGCAAAATAACCAGAAAGTCTAACATGCAATCCAGCAAACAGTTCACATTTTCATCATAGATCAATAAAAATCAATCATTTTCCACATGCAACCACAGAACAAGAATTTCCCAAAATTTTCTCAAAAGCCCCAAAAACCCGAAACCCTCAATCTCATCATTTTCAACCAAAAATCATCAAACAGCAACAGCCAAAGAGTTCCTAGAACTCATTTTCATCCGAAAACGGCAAAAGAACCTAGCTTCCCTTACCTCGGTGGAGAATCCGAGCTTCCGGGAATAGACAATGGAGAAGAAAGAGCTCGAAAAAGGCGGAGAACGGAGAAGAGATTTTCGGCTTTCCTGCTAGCTTTCAAACACGAGAACCAGCACCTACACACCCAAGAATATAGAGAATTTGGACCAAGGCAAACAAAGGAAAGAAGAGAGTGAGATGTGCAAGTGAGAGTTTTGAGAGAAAGTGAGTAGGAGAGGGTGAGAGTGAAAACAGGAAAAGGTTAGGGTCTCACATCCTCCCCAACAACAAATAGAATATATTAAAAGAGAAAAATGTTTAAAATTATAAAAAAGATATGTATAAATAATTCATAAGAATTTGTATCTAAAATTTAAAATAAGTTAACATGACATGCTATTCTTTAAGGTTAGATCCTGCATATATTGGATGGTTAAAAGTGTAAACTTTTGCATCTGTATCAACTGATTGCATGTTTGTTTTATTTTATATAAATTTATGGTTTTAATGTTGTGAAGGTTGCCCGAGGCCAGATTGAGAAAGCAGTTGGTCTCAGGAAGCGACTTAACCAAGTAGCAGAAACCACAGATCCATCTCAGCCTACATTTGTTCAATCTTCTATATCATTTTCTCCTTTCCAGACCACTGACGATGATAACAAGAAGGCAGCAGCGGCTGCCGTTGCCGCTAAGCTTGCTGCCTCTGCATCCTCTGCCCAGATGCTTACATCTGTTCTTTCTTCTCTTGTGGCTGAAGAAGCTGCCTCCTTGAATGGTAACTTGAAATCTACAGCATTCTCATCAGGATTGCCTATTTTCAACCCAGAGAAAAGACCCAAGCTTGAAAAACCAACACCTGTCGTAGATGTTAACAGTCCCGATATGGCAAATTCTTCTTTTTATGCAACTATACAACAGCAGCCATCATTAGCAAATGTACCACTTGCACCGTCAGTTGGCATGCAAACTGTGTCACAAGCCAATCAACTACAAGCAGCATTTGCTTCTGCACCCACTCCACCACCTCATTCTCCAGCAAATCAACCACCAAACCAATATGTCCAATTCCAATCAACTGGTTTGATGGCTGGGGGAATTCCTTATGGATATGGGTCAAGTAATCTGCCACCTCCACCACCACCTCCATTGCCTCCACATGTGGCAATGGGGTTATCAATACCCGGCACTCAACCAGCTCAGCAGCAACAGCAGTCATCACCAGGAGGATTTTACAGGCCACCTGGCATAGGGTTTTATGGGCAAAGCAATCCATCAACACCACCGCCAGTACCTAGGCAGTGAGCATTATTTGAAGATCATCGGCCAACTTTGTTGCAAAACCTTGTAACAAGTTCCTCTAGGAAGTTGCTGTGTATGCAGAGAATTTTCTTACAGGCTGTGTATTTTAGTGTAAATTATTAGAGAATTAGATGTGGCCAGAATTCATCTGTAGCCTTATACACCCCTCTGCCTTTTTTAATTTTGCCTACTGCCTTAAGTCTGAGTGGTAGGCTTTGACATCATAGCGCGATACTTGAGATCTTCACTAGTGTCTACTACTGTTAGAAAGCACCTCGTGGGGCCTTAACTAACTATTTTGAAACATCACGGAGCCCTTGTCATGGTGCACGTGGACATCTTGTTTCTATTATGAAACTGCCTATAATGGGGATAAACATTAACAGATGGTGTTATTCACCTCTAGATGAATTTTCAGAGCTTCATCTTCCTCATAGTATGCTATCCTGGGAGGTTGAATGTTAATGTAGATTAATACCAATTGACAGGATGCTGATATTTTGGTATGTGCTATAGGATCTTTGTTTTTGCAAGGAAAATGCTGGTAATGCACACTAATATTATCTTTCAGACACTGTCCTTTTAGGTGAAATTTCCGTGGGTTTCACTCAATATGTGGGTCTTATTTCCCATTTGGTGGATCTCATTCCCAAACCGGTGAGATTTACGTGAATTTTAAATAATAGAAGAAAATATATTTAAAAAAATTGATATTTAGTATGTTGACAGCACTCTTTTATTTCAAGGCTTTTAGAGGTCCTTGAGCTTTTCTTTGAATTAACAAAGACCTTACCAGTTTGCCTCTAACAACATTTTCTAGTTATTTTTAAAATGCGATAATGGTTAGGATCATGAACTCGCCTGAAATATTGATAAAATTATGCATTTGAATCTGGAAACGAGTTGCCGTGAAGTGATTGTTGACCGAGAGATTTACAAAGTATTATTATACCAATCATCTCTAGCTTGAAATGTCACATGAAAGTTCGGATGAAGATTAAAGTTGAACAAATAAAATAGTAAACTATATATGCATGTTTGAATTGGATTATAGTGGACAAAAAATACGATTGAGGACTAAAATCATGCATCAAGTGGAGATGCTTTGGTTTGAGAGAAAAATTAGGGACAGAGTGCATGTTAAGTTTGATGGTAAGATTACGGTAAACTTGTGAATATCCAAATAAAACAAATTAAATTGATTCACTTAATTAGTTGTTTCACTGTAAATCTAAACTGATCCGACTCACCATAGTTCAGTATATAAACTCCTATGGTTGATAGAAAACTTTTTGCCAAGTTGTAGAAGTGGGGAGAGGATATTTTGAGAACTTTCAAATAACTGTAAGAAGAAAAAATTCTCACTTTTCAAACAATTCAATTTTGATATATAATGTAAGAGTAGATAGTATTTAAAATAGAGTTAATCATCCATACACTGCAAGTGTAAAATTTTTTATATTTGCAACCAATCATATCTTTTAAATTATTTTATTTTATTTTTATTTCATTAAATGAGCAACTGACATGACACTATTAAAAGATATGATTGGTTGTCAATATAAAAAAACTTTACACTGACAGCGTATAAGTGATTAACTCTTTAAAATATTATTACTTATGTGCTAAGATTATTATTTTTTTGTCTTTTTAAAAGACTCTTTTTAAATTGTCTTTTGCAATAATAATGGTAATTATTATTATTATTATATATTTTTACTAAAATTATATATTTTTAACTCTTTAAATATTGTAATAGTACAATTTTAGTATTTTTTTATTTTCTTACAAATTTAAGAAATTGTCTTGATGTCATGGTAACGAAAGACATAAAATATACAAAAATGCTAAATTCTTCAAATTCAAATTCCGAAACTCCTCCAAATGTTAAGTTTTTTAAAATGTCAAATATGTAAGTTGAACAATATGTGTTTTAAGTATGCAGAAATTTTTTTGGAGGATGATTTCAGAATGTATAGTAATATTCTAAAATATAATGTTATACTAACAAATGACATTGACATGACAGATATAGATGTTGATACTCAATGATGTAACATGATATTTTAATAGCAGAAAAAATGACAAGGTGTTGTGGTATTCGAAACACTTCCCTTTAACTTTAAAAACAATGTTTAACCATTAAATCACTAAATTTCTTTAATAAGTAAATCAAAGTGATTATATATATATATATATATATATATATATATATATACGCGTATATATACGCGTTAATTGGAAACTAATATTGTATAAATATTTACTACTATTAAATAAAAAATTGTATGTATTATATTATATTATATATTATTAGTATTAATGATATTTTTGATAAATTGTCATTAATAAGTACATTTATAGATAGGTCCAATCACTTAATTCCTGTGGAAAGGAAAAATAATTTACAATTAATGCGTATATATATATATAATTAATATATAAATATAATTTATTTATAGATAAGCCAATATTTATATAAATTAATACTAATAACATTAATATAATACATACATTTGTTTATTTAATAGTAGTAAATTATATATATATATATATATATATATGTATATACATATTATGTATATTATATATGTCTAAATTATATATTATTAGACTAATTATATCATTGATAAATTAATAATATTATTAATGTTATTTGTATATTAATAGATAAATTAATAATTTAATAAATATAAATACATTGAATATAAATACAAATATAAATATATTAGAAAAAAGATTAATTTAAAATATATGATAGTTCAAGAATAATAAATTTGCCAAGATTATTGATTAATTGCAAAAGCATTTTCTATATTTTAAAAAAGCGATCATAATAATCAATTATAGTTTGTTAGTAATCGATTTTGTTTATTTTCAACCTAACCAAACGCACTTTAACAATGTTATATGGCTTAAATAGAATTATTTCTTATGATAGATATGTGATCTTGTATCATGGGTGTACATGTTGGAATTAAGCACTGATGTAGTCCTTCAAATTAAATAGAACTCCTTTTGCTTTTTCACAGTCCAATAAGTTCTTGATGATATTTGCAATGATACTCTTTTACACTTAAAGGTATTCGGATTATCAAGTAGATAAATAATCAATATAGTAAAAGTATTTAATGATTATGCATAGATCTAATATATAATCAGAAAAGGATATCAATTTGTTCAACAAGCTACTATTGGGGAAATGGCGTTGGAGTATGTTCCACAACGAAAAAACCTTATAGGGAGACATACTAGAATCTAAATACGGAGGGTGGAGGGATCTAACGAGTGGAGAGGATAATAACTTCCAATCATACTGGCGGAAGGACTTAAGAAAAATGTGTAGAAATAAGGATGAGGAACAATGGTTTGAAAGACTATACTAATGGAATGTTATGGATGGTCAAAAGACTCTATTTTGGGAAGACCCATGGTTGGTTCAGGAACCACTAGCAGCAATCTATCCTAGAATCTATTTGAATTCTACTAAAAAACAAACCAGAATACATTCAATGGGACAATGGAATGAAGGGGAGTGGAACTGGGATTTCGGGTGGAGAAGAAACTGGTTAGGGAGGGACTCTGAGCAGTGGGAGGATCTACAAAGGAGACTACAAGGGTTACAATTTGACAGTCATAAAAAGGACTACTGGAAATGGTTGCCGGGGAATACTCAAGCATATACAGTGAAGTCCACCTATGGTGAATTACTATCTTGGAAAGTTGGGTCAGAAGAGGTACCTTTCCTAAAAGAGTTGTGGTCACTTAAAATCCCCCCTAAGGCAAAAATACTAACATGGAGAATGTACTTTGAGGGCCTACCAACTATAGATAACTTGAAAAAGAGAAACATACAGATAGCTCAGAATGAGGAAAGATGCAAGTTCTGTCTTGAGGAAACAGAAACAACAACACACTTATTTTTTCACTGTAGTAAGGTTGATCAAGTTTGGAAATTATGTTACAAGTGGGCCAATTTTAATACAGTTTTACCAGCAAATGCAATTCAACACTTCCAACAACTTCCGGGACACAGCTACAAAAACAAGCAAGCATCAAGATGGAAAATAATGTGGGCGACAGCTGTTTACAATATTTGGATGACAAGAAACAATAATATCTTCAGAGGGCAGGGAGTTGATACACAACAATTGGAGCAGAAAATCAGATTTACAACTTGGTCATGGTTGAAAATGGATAAGGATTTTCCATTCAACTATGTGTAGTGGGAGTCAGTACCAGGGGTATGCATTACAGAAGATGAAGGATAAAGATAGGAAGACTTACAAGGGGACACCAGGGATGACACAAGAGGTAATAATAATCTGAGTGGTTGAGTGGAAAAAAAGGATTCTATACAGGGCATTAAATGATTGGTAGAAAACAAATGAAAGTGAATTTCAACTACTCTTATCTTAAGGGCGAATTCGGGATTCACTGTTTTGCTTTGCAATGTTGGGTCAAATTATTTTTAGGTGGGATACTAAAATTTTGTTTGGTTAATTCGTAATTTGGATAGTTAATCTAAATTACCCCTAACCAATACTTTGTAAATATGAGATTATGGCACCCCTAGTACCACAATATAATTTTATTTGGCCGTTTAAAAAAAAATCAGAATATGTGCACAGGGTCGTCATTATAATTTTTATAAATAAAAAAAAATCAAAAATCATGCTACATTCATTAATTAATGTGTTAATGGTGTTGTTTTATTGTCTTTTAATGACAATGATGAGCAACGACAGCAGTTACACATTTATTTTTGTCGAATAATTGTGAAAATGAACCTTTTGAATATATTAATCGAGTGTTCAAGTACAATCTACAAGTTTACTTCATGGAAGTACCTTGTAATTGTAAGATAATTGGTCCTTGTGTGGGTGTGTGCGTCCTATCATGTACAATTAGTAAAATCATGTTCATCAATAAAATAAACTCAAACTATTTAATGTGTTTGAAAACATTAAAATATAAAAAATTATATATATTAAATACATTTTTAGTCATTAAACTTTGAATAATGTATTAACAATGGATTAACATTAGTTAAATTTAAAAACTAGAAAGACCAAATTGCAATACAAAATTTTTAGAAACCAAAATTTTATGTTTATATTATTATTTAACCTTCTTCTTATATATATATATATAATATTTTATATTTATGTAAAAGTATATTCATATATAATAATTTATATTTATATAATTATTAGTTTAACTAGAAATATATATTTTTTAATTGTGAGATTTATAATAACGAGACCAAAATATAAATATAAGACGATGTGCATATTATAATATTTCACTATTAGATTGAAAATATTGGTTCAATTAGTAATATATTTATAATTTATACTACTACTAATAATATATGGTTAAATAATAATATAAACATAAAATTTTGGTTTCTAAAAATTTTGTATTGCAATTTGGTCTTTCTAGTTTTTAAATTTAACTAATGTTAATCCATTGTTAATACATTATTCAAAGTTTAATGACTAAAAATGTATTTAATATATATAATTTTTTATATTTTAATGTTTTCAAACACATTAAATAGTTTGAGTTTATTTATATATATAAAGAGGTTTGCGCTGAAATGAGTTTTTTTTAATAAATTTTTCTCCATAAACAAAACCAAATAATTATATATTTATAAACATGCTTAAAGAGCCTAAATGTATATCAAATATGTTAGATCTTATTGGTATTTAAGGTGAATGTGTGTATTATCATTTGTGTATCAAATAAATTGAATAATTTGACAATAAAATGTTGTTTTTGGAGTTAAGGATAAGATGTTCAAATTTCATCAATTTTTTCTCTTATTTTCCACATGCTACATTACTACATCAATTATTATTGCATCTTATATTTGTATCATTTATCATTTTATCATGGTAATATTATTTATCGATTTGACTTCATATATCATGTCATTCATAAATGTAATGTCAAAAAAATTCATTAATTTAAAAAAAAAATAATAAATAAATTAAAATAATATAATTACGATATTTAATAACCTAGTTCACCCAATTAAATTTTGGAGACTAAAATTATATAAAAAATCTTTGAAGACTAAAATCGTATTTGGACCTAAAAAATAAATGCTATAAGTTAATAAGACAAATTCATTTTTGACTAAAATATCTTAATCATTTTATAAATTTTTAGTAAATAAATAATAAATACTATAAATTGGCAAGGTAAGTTCATTATCTTTTTTTTCTTTGGCGAGGTTAAAAAATTATGACCATCACACATTGATTAATAAGCAGAAAAACTGAAATGATTAATTTCAATTATATTAAGGATAATTTAAAATATATATATATATATAATTATGAAAAAAAATTGAAGGTGGAAGAGATTTAGATAAATAAATTAAAGTTGGAAGGTAATACTTTTTATTATTAATAATTAATAATTAATAATGAATAACAGTTGGTAAATAGTGTGTTTTTTTCAGGAAGTGACACATAATAAATAAATGAGCCACAAAAATAGTGTAGAATGCCCAATTTGGCACAACTATATATTGATTTCAAGGAAAGCAAGAATTGGGAGATTCATTCATTTTTTCTCCCCCAAAAGGCCTTTCTTTTAATCGAATCGATCACCAGTCAAGAGTTAACACATCTCAAACCAGAGCGTGCTTCACTTTGCCTCGCTACTGTTGGTTTGGTATGCTAACACACCACAACACATCCAATCTTTCTATTCATATATTTTTAATAACCCCATTTCCTAATTTTTACTTATTTGCATTTTTCTTTCCTTCAATTTCATTTTTTTTAACAACACACCAATCCTATTGATTTGCATTTCTAACTATTCTGCTCGCTGTCAATCTTGAAGAAAAAAAGGTGCATTTTTTTTTCTGATGGTAATTGATTTATGTGTGTTCTCCATTATTGAAATTCAGTTTTTTTAATTCATTTATTGTTGCATTTGAGTAATCTGATGCCTCTTGTATCTAGAGTTTGGGAAATTAGTCCATGTTACGATGTTTATCAACATCTAAAGCGGATGAGAATGATGCTTGTACGTGGATTGTTTTGGAAAAATTATGGAGTCCTAGCTAGTGTGATGCATGGAAATTGGAATTAATGGATTTTTGATAGAGAACATTGATGATGATGTTTTTTTAACTTGACGGTATTGTGCTCTTAGAAATGGTCCTTTAATGACTTGTAGGCTGACCTGTAGTAAAGAATCTTATTAATGTCTTCAAGAACGTTGAGGAGAAGACTCCATCATGGGGATGTTGATGGCAAAAGGCAAGAGCATTTCGAGACTTCGGGATTAGATTCACTGAACGAGCCTTTGTTGACAGATGATGATTATGTTGAGAACAAAAAGGTGAGAAATTGTTTATTTTAAATAGGGGATGTGAGCATGATGAATTCATTTTTTAAATATGTTTTTACATATGTGATGTTATATTTCTAACTTTCTACGTTATACAGATATGCACGCTTGAAGATCTATGGGATGATGAGAGGAAAAAGGCGCAATTTCATTGGACATTCATATTCTCAAGCCTCATAGCGCAATGGGCACAATGGTTAGGTATGCAGATGATTGTTTTGGCTTGCCTCACAGATACAAATACAATGAAGCTTGATAGTATGAGTAATTGAGTAGTAGGTTGTTCACTTTTGTTAGCATACAACAACTCCTAACTATATTTTCTTCATGTGTTCTCATTAACTACAACTTAACTAATGATGTTTTATTTATTTTTCCTATTAGAAAGCTGTCTAATCTTTAACAAATGCTGACTTGACACATTTTTTTTCATAACTTTCTCATAAGAAGCCCTGCATTTACTATTAAACATGATTCTTGTGATATTAGTTCACAGTTCACACATTCTTTGCTCAAGTTTTTGTGGACATTTTTTTTATCAGTGGTAGTTAAAGGGTGAATACAATCCAATGCTCTTGGCACTCTTTATGCAAAGAAAGTCAAGTGATTTTCTCTTCCCTTGTTGTCTCGCATTTTGAGTCGTATCTAAAACAACCAGTCTTTCGACAATGAACATTGCATAATTGATAATTCTTTTTATGTAAGTTGTAAGTATTAATTGAATGAACTGATGGTGAATGATGATTAATAATAGGCTAATAATTGAATTTTGGGGTACATTCACATGGTGATTGGTGCAATATATATGACTTACAAATATAAAGAAAATCAATGATATTTCTTTTCCTTGCTATCATACATTTCGAGTGGCAACTAAAACAATCAGTCTTTGGGTTGTGAACATTGCATAATTGAACAATTATCATGTAACTTGTAATTTTTAGTTGATTGAACTGCTGGAAGATGATGAATGATAATAAGCTAGTAATTGAGTTTTGGGGCATATTCACAAGGTTATGACTTATAAGGTTTGAAATCTAAAGCATAGAATTAGAAGGGAAGCATTGCTCAAAATTTGTAGTTTTTGAAAATACATGAACTTACTATCAGAGGGGTTGTTTATATTATTCATTTCTAAGAGCTTTGTTTTACGATAATTTGAAAAAGGCATGAACCTATATTATAAGTAGTAAATATTATAGGTTTTGTGTAAGTTTTCCATATATTTTTTTTGTCATTGCTGAATTGGTGTATAAATCAGGAGACAAGCATCAAGCATGTTATGATTTTAATGGTGATTTTGTGACCTTTAGCCTTATTTTTATTGTTTATGCAGCAACTATTGTACTTGGATCTGGATCTCTTCTTGGACGTCTTTTATCTTTTCCTTCTGTTGCTCTGAATATGCAAAACAACAGGATCCTTCCTTCACCTCTAAGCCCTCTGCAGGTATGTAGTGAAATCTTATTTGGAATTCTAATGAGCTTTTTTTTTTCTTTCCAAATTCATGTTAGTCAGTAACCAAAATCTGCTTTAATCTGTTAGCAAATGAGCTCATATGATTTTAAAATTTATATTTTCTACAATATAAAAGTCATAAATTATGAACCTTATCTAAAATAAATTTTGATTTTGGATCAATATCCACCAAAGCGTCTAACTTCACCACCCTTCTTTTGAGAATGAAATGGTGGCAAGAATTTTTTTTTTATTAATAAAATCAAGTCTATGATAAGATATTATCAATTGAGTTAGTTTGATAGTGTCATAGTGTCTTGAATATTTGCACTAAGGCATAGGTGGGCAATCAATATTTGTTTGAAATTTTTGATGATATGTATATGGTCGTTATAAATTTTGCATGGAAAGAGGAATATTTGAGATGCCTATTCTCTTTATGTAAACATGTTTACTCAAACATTTGATTTGCTGAGATTTTGGTTCTTTTATTTTTTGTAATCTTTTTATTTGTTTTGATTGTTGTGGATGTGGTGTTTGTGTGTTTGTTTTGTTGTTGAGATTAAGAATTTTATAACTATACTGTCGCATATTTTTATAGCTTGTTATTATGTGCTTTTCTTATTTATAGCTATTTGTACTTGTTTCACATGTATTTCTTTTTTAGGAAGAAAGGCTAAGAAGCCTTCGGCGACGGATTGAAGTACCCTTTGATGGTTCTAAAGTAGAGCACCAAGTATGTAATTAATGCATTTGGGTTTAAATTTTCGTATCACTTTACTAACATTTAACTTTGTATCCTGCATTTTATCTTATTTATTTTTTACTTGTTTTGATCCTATAACTATCTTCGTGTGTCCCTTTCAGTTTCATTAAGCTGGTTTTTGATTTTGATCTGCAATCTGCAAATATGCTTAATATACAATCTTAATGTGCTTAAACTTGAATGTCAGCATGGTAACTGCTTGACATGCAAGTGCTTACATATGAGGATCGGCAATTCTTTTTAAATTAAATTGCCTTCCATTGTGACCAAGTACAATGACGATTTGTTGCATGTCATATAACCTATGCATCTAATCTGCCCATTGGATGTTTCTAAAAATCTATAATATAAATAGCCAATAGAAGATGTGATAGACATTTTTTACTTTTTCCAGTAGGATGACATTTTTAAATTTGTTTGGTTGCAGGATGCACTTAAACAATTGTGGAAATTGGCTTACCCTGACAGGGAGCTTCCTTCTCTTAAATCAGATCTTTGGAAGGAAATGGGATGGCAAGGATCAGACCCTTCGACTGATTTTAGGTGTGTAATAAAAAAAAGCATTATACTTTTAAGGAGAAAGGGTCAGAGCTTGAGTATGGATATGGTTTTATTCTGCAACAAGTCAATGACTCAATATATTATCTAATACCATTAAGGCTTCATTGGTTTACTAATAATATAAAATGAATGAGAACATTTTGACCCTCTTATGCAAATTTGATTACCGTAATAATCGTGGACTAAGACCCCATCCTTGTATGTTTTACTCGTAGATGTTTTGATAGTATGATTTTGGATTTTGAATGTAGTTCTTTGTATATTTTTGGAATAATGAGTTTTGTTTTGGCATGTTCTTATAGAATAAAATCATGGAATAGTGTATACAAATCAATCATTATAAATGAAAATATTTAATTTAGAAATTATCTCCAGAAATAGTCTATTTTTATCTATATATTATTCTATCATACTCTTGATCTTCAAAGAAAAGTTTCCAATAACTCTCTAACCTTTAGACTTTACATAGTCAGTAATACATTCTTTGATTGTTTGGGAAATTCTGAATTAGTTTATATGAACTTCTAAACATGGTTTGCAGGGGTGGAGGATTTGTTTCATTAGAGAATCTAATTTTCTTTGCGGGGAAGTATCCAGTAAGTTTCTTTCATTGCATTTGCATTCATGCACACATTGCCCTTGCTTAGTGAGTATATTTAATATTTTTTATTAATACATTATATAAATTATTCTTTTCATTATATTTAAACTTGTAATTTGCTCACTAAATTATCTCTCGAGGTCAAATTCTACCCTCATTCTTGTAAAAAAAAACAGCGCTTTTAATTTTATAACCTTTGTGCTGGGTACACTTCTATCTACTTGTGCATTATTGACATTGACACATAATTGATTTAATTTGATTCAGAAATTATGAGATTACAATATAATTTTTCATTGTGATTTAAGAAAATAAGCTATTATATTATATGTATCGACAAACTATCTGCACTACACACGTGTGAAAGCAACAAGTTCATACAATGTGTTAAATACTTTATCAAGTAGCATGATTTTTTAAGTCATGCACATTTCTACTTGTCATTTTTATAGGATTCATTCCAAAGATTATTACATAAACAAGATGGAACTAGAGCTGAGTGGGAATATCCATTTGCTGTAGCCGGAATCAATATTTCTTTTATGTTGGCACAAATGTTGGATCTACAAACAGGTAACATATATTCTCTTAAAAAGAAATTCAGTGGTTGTAATGATGGTTATTCTCTGCTCTAAGTAGTTAAATTTATTATAGAATCTCGTTTCACCTTGCCACCTTCACTAATAAGTATTTATCTTGCAGGGTTTCCTTATTTGTTCTGTGTTGATGTTTGTTTATTACTCACATATACATCATATTTGTATACTCATCTGAAGCAACTATTTTCCTTATAGGGCTTCCATCTTCTTCGTCAGGAGTTTGTTTTCTTAAGTTGCTTGAGGAGGATGAAATGGCATTTGATATCCTTTTTTGTATTGCCTTTCAAATGATGGATGCTCAATGGCTATCAAAGCGTGCAACATATATGGAATTCAATGTAACATATATCATTAAATTGTATTTGTTCATTGCTTAATTATTTTTATTATTTGTGATTTTTTCTTGACAGATCTATGATTTTTTCATTAGGATGTTTTGAAGTCCACAAGAGCGCAGTTAGAGAATGAGCTTGCGCTTGACGATATCTCTAGCGTGAGAGATTTACCAACTTACAACATCTTGAGATGATGGACGATTGTCATTTAATTTAACATTTCTCTCATTTTTCCCCCCTTCCTCTATTTTGATAGAGAATGTTACATGAAATGTATCTAAATAATTTGTCACTTTATTTCCATATAGAAATGTGAAAAATCAAGGGATAGTGGGTTCACAAATATCATATCAATTTGTTGATTTCCATCATCCTTTTATTTAAAGCATGTGAATCAATATTTAGAAAATTAATAAAGGATTAAAAGGATATTAATAATATATTACACTTAACCTTTTTTTTTTCTTTTTCTTATCTCATTATTTAGAAAAAATAACTATATTTTAAAATTATAATTTATAGAGCCCTTAGAAATAAATATAAACAAAACTAAAATGTCATATAATATAATAAAAGTATAAATCAATTTGTATGGATGATGTGAGTTGAACCCGATGAATCAATTCGTCAACTTATTTATTTTTTATAAGTTGGATTAGATAAATAAATTCACCAATTTACTCAACTCAAGTTGTCAACTTCATGGGTCAACCTATTAGTTCAACTTTCTTTTAATATTTTTTTTCATGCTTTTAAAAGATAAATTTGGAATAAATTTATGTTAGATGAATGTTTTAATTTTATAAGCTAGCTTCTTTTTTTTAGATAATTATTCTCATTTTATATAAAATAAAAATATATTGTTTTAGTCATATGTATTTTATTGAATTTGGATTATCTCTTGCAATTTTCTCTCTTCAGCCTCTCTCCTGCAATATTAATAGCCATGAGATATATCTAATGACTCAAATTTAATCATTTAAGAAGTTACATTAATTATAAGATTAAATTTGAGCCATTAGATATATCTCATGGCTATTAATATTGCAGGAGAGAGGCTGGAGAGAGAAAATTGCAAGAGAGGATCCAAATTCCATTTTAGTAGTATATTTTCATGTATACATTCCTTGACCCTTTACATGAAAAATATGATCCCTCTAATAAATTTTACAAATAATAATAAAATTATTAGTTAAAGTGATAATATATATTAAAATATTTTAATTGAGATTTTTTTTTAATTTGGATAGTTGAAGGTGAGATAACTTGCCAACCAATCATTTTTAACATACCAACTCACTAATGTGAGCTAATCCACCAACCCACCAGTAAGTGAAATAAGTTACATTTTTCAATTCGTTTTCTTTAGTGGTCAATTTGTCTTATCTCGATTCTTTGATGGGTCAACTTGTCTTGTTATGTTTTAAGTGGATTGATCCTCTGTCACACTATTAATCATCATATTCCATTTCAAGAATATTAAATGCATTTTTAAAAAAATTACTATAAGTTACAAAATAAATTAAAATACATTTAATAATAAAATGGGCTGACAAGTCAATCCATCTTATCTTGTTGGGCTAACATGCTTAGCAAGATGTGATAGATAGATTGGATTGTCTATCCTATCTCACCAATTTTTGGCAAGCTAGTAGGTTAGTTTATTGGCCGCGACCCACTTTGTCGAATTTTTTACATAAATAATACTTTTTTTTTAAAATTACAAATATAACACCTGTGCAACTTTATTTACTCAACTAGAACTAATTACTGTTCAAGCTCAGAGTTCGGTTCCCAGGGAACCGAATTCTGAGCTTCAAAATTTTTTTTTTTTGTGCTCAGAATTCGGTTTCACGGGAACCGAATTCTGAGTTGGTTTAAATTTTTTTTTGCGTTTCTGGGAAGCGGCACGGGCCGTTCCGGAAGCAGAACGACCCGTTCTGCTTAAACACATAGAGTTTTATTTTTGAAATTGGAACGGGCTCAGAACGGGCCGTTCCAATTTCAAAAATAACACTCTATTTGTTTAAGCGGAACGGGCCGTTCTGCTTCCGGAACGACCCGTTCCGCTTCCCAGATTCGCCTACACTGTGCCACAAACGAAAAAAAAATTAAAAACAACACAGAATTCGGTTTCCCGGGAACCGAATTCTGAGCACCAAAAAAAAAAAGAAAATTTTGAAGCTCAGAATTCGGTTTCCGGGGAACCGAATTCTGAGCATGAACAGTGATTGGTTCTAATTGAGTAAATAAAGTTGCACAGATGTTACTTTTGTAATTTTTTTTTAAAAAAAATTTATTTATGTAAAAAATTCCCACTTTGTCACCTTTAACTTTAGTCTTCTTAAAGTCATTTTTTTTTAATCAAATTTTATTTCTTTGTTTTGTTAATACCGTGTTACTCTTTAACATCATCATTAAAGTGTCATCTCATGGATGTATGTGAGCCATCACACCATCACCAAAGCTATACATCATAAGTTTATGTTAGTAATAATGTCATGTAATGACAATTACTAATAGTCGAGAAGGAACTAAAATTGCCTAATTTTAAAAATTAAAAAATCAAAATTGTATAATTAAAAAGAAAGCCAAAATTACAAATTAAAAATGACATGAGGATAAAAGTACAATTTAACCTTTTTAAAAATTAGAGATTAAAAGTACATATTAAAATAATTGATTAAATTTATAGTTCACAAAAATAGGACTCAAAATGCAATCCTTCTTATATTAAACACAAACATTTTTCATGCACGAGAGCATTTTTTTTAGGGAGTTTTTCTTTGACAATTTTTTTATATGAATTCTTTTAATTATTATTATAATTTAGATTTTATTTATCATAATTATTTATAAATTAAATTTTAATATTTTTAAAGTAAATTATCTATTAATAATATAAAGGGGAGAAGTTCTGCAACAATTTTTTTTCTACCAAAAATTCTAACCATCTTCTCTCTAAAACTCCTTCAAAACCTTTTTTATATATCAAAATATAACATCATAATAATATATTTTGTAATATACTTGTTTTCAATGTAAAAAAAATGACTTTTATTTTTAATTATATGTCTCAAAACCTTTATTCATTTAAAAATGTTAATTATATTACATATTATATGAAAATATAAGTCAAAATTATAGGAATATATATATATATATATATATATATATATATAATACATTAGTTGTAACAAATAAAACATTAATTTGTCTTGTGTATGCAGCCGCGTTAAATCTTGGAGCCAGTTATTCCACCCTTTGAGGTGCCTCCAACCTAGCGAGGAGATTAGTCACTGCTGTCGGCGATGGATACTCCAGGAACGAATAAAAAAAAAGTAAAACATTAATTTTAAATATAACAATTTTTTTAAAAAAATAATTAAATGTGATTAATTTTACCTATTAATGAATTTTGAGTAATTTGCCTATCTAAAGAGTCGCTAGGAATTTCCTAATTGAAGTGAATAATGTTTCATTATTTATCAAATCTTTAAATTCAAAATCTTAGGTGAATAATGATGGAAAATGTTTAAATATGTATAAGTAGGGATGGCAATGGGGCGGAGCGGGTACGGGTTTTATGATACCCGTCCCCGTCCCCGCGAGTCAAATCCATCCCTGTCCCCGTCCTCATACCCGTCGGGTATGTGGTTTTCATCCCCATCCCCGTCCCCGTCGGGTATCGGGTATACCCGTACCCGTACCGTCAATTTTTTTATTTTTTATTTTTTGTAAAAAATTATTTTTTTAAATTATTTTTTTTATTATATTATAATTATAATTAAGTTATTTTTCTATCTCATATTATAATAAATAATCACACATAAAAAATATTAATTTTTTTAATATAATTAAATTAAAAGTGAGTATTAAATTAAAAATGGAAACGGGTACGGGTACGGGGCGGGGAAGTACATACCCGTACCCGTACCCGATTTAATATATCGGGTTTTACCCGTACCTGTACTCGTACCCGGTCAAACCGGGTATTCCCCGTCAAAGTCGGGACGAGTTCGGGTATTATCCGCGGGTACGGGTATATTTGTCATTCCTATGTATAAGTATAATTTTTAAACAACAAATAATTGTAATTATTAATATGAGAATGTTTTTGTGAAAAAGTGAGATAAAAATGATTTTGGAAAAATCATATTTTTGAATTTTTTTTTTAAAAATAACTACCAAATGTATGAAACTAAGATTCATATTTAAGATTTCCAATGTAAAAAATATTTTTGCATACTAAATGTTCCAAATCAAATCTATATTTGTATATAAAGGCAATTTCTTCCTTCTGTGTATACATTATTTTTGTCAAATTTAATCCTTCCAAAAAAACAACATAATAATAATTAGCAAAAGCAAAAAAAGGTCTTTTAACACATATATTTTTATTTAAATTCCTTGATAACTATCTACTATCTCGGTCAATAAATATGTATTCAAAGGAAAGCACAAAGTGCCTTTACCATTACCATTAGTATAATATATAATATATTATAATCTATACTAATATATAAAAAAAATATTTTTTTAGTAATTTTTACATAATATATCATTATATTTTTTATTATTAATTTTACATTTATTAACTACTAAATTCTAACACATAATAGATAATTCTCATTTATAAATTCATCACTAAAAGTCATTTATTTTAATTTTACTTTTAAATAAAATATAAATGTACGAAATATTTTAACCTCATCAATAATAAATAAAAAAAATATCATTTTTATTTTTTATTTTTTTAAAATTCATTTATTCTTTAACTAACTTATCTATATTTATTTAAAATATTTTATTTTTATCCTAATTTATCATTTAAACCATAGACATTTTTGTAGTAACTTAGCATTTTTTTTAAGTAACAACCACAGTTAGATACGTGTCTTGATTCACTAAATAAAACCATCATTATCTGTTTTAATAACTTTTATTATAATTTTCTAAAAATAAATATGTAGAGTGATAGATAAAGTTGATATTTTACCAAATGTTTTACTACACATATCCATCCAATTTGCTGGCATTGGACTATCAAACACTGCAACAGCTCTTCTCTCCCGGCGGCGGCGGCGGTGGAGGCGGCGTCACCTTGTACATTCCTCTAATCTAGTAAGTCTATCGGATCTACCGACGCATCGAGAAACTCCCCTTTTCACTCTTCATCGTGCGTCGTTCCGCTTTATTTATTTCCTATTAGGTTACGAGCTCGCAAATTTTGATTTTGATTAAACTGTTCTCTTTCCCTTTGGATATTGACATTATCACAAAGTTCAGACCCAAACGAGTGTAATTGCTTTGGGAAAATATGGGCTTCTGTTTGGTCAATATTACGTTATCTTTTGATTCCGAATCAATTTTTTTTTTGCGTTGTCTTTTGATTCCAAGTGCAATAAGAAAAAGAACCGGTGTTTCTATCTTTTACGAGTCTCAGTTGCTTTATTAAATTTTGAAATTGTGACAATTTATTGACTCTTTCTCCTTTACTTGTGGATGTGCTTAGTTGGATGGTTTGTAGTTGATTGGGCTTTACTAGGGGCGTGGGAGTGAGATTGGGGGAGGTTGTGGCATTTTACTTTTGCAGTGTGTTGGTGACAAAATGTTATTTCTGGAAGAGTCAACAGTGTTATACTAAATTTGTGAATATCATTTCCCTTGTTCATTAGTTTCACGTCTTTAGGTGTGTGCCAGATTTTGTAATGATTATGGCCTCTTATGTATTTTGGAGTTCCTGGTGGTAACTGGTAATCCTTGGCCTTGAGCCCCGTGTTAACTGTAAAATGCCATGATCCTGTGGTCCAAACTCCAAACAACAAATGATTTTCAAGCACGGGTAATTTGAATTGTTCTTTTATTTAATTATTTTTTTTTCTCAGTAGGTTGATGTAGTGATCTTGGTGAAGTGTGCTTGTCCAGGATTTCTTTGTTATGGAAATCTTTTGCACATCCTTGTCGAGGTTGCTTAGAGGCTATAGGAGATTAGGAGCAAATTTTAGAGCTAAATGGTTTGTCTATAGACATGATTGACTATAGATTATATAACATTATGGTGTTATTTGGTTTCTGTAGCCAATTTCACCCAGTAGGAAAAGACATAATTGTTGTTGTAGTTGAAGCATGCTTGTCAATCATGGGTGATAGCATCACAATTGTGGGATAGAGGAGCGGAGTGGCATCTTGCTGCTCCTTAGAGAGCCGTTGCGGCACGTTTTGATGCCATTTTCATGACCAATAGTGAGCGTAGTGCTTGATTTTCCTAGGAGCCTTCAAATTTCTTTAGTATTTGGTGAGGCAGAGGTGTTCTGCAACCTCTGTCAAGGAAGAGAGGTTCTGTAACTTCTGGTGAGGCAACCTGGGGGGTCAAGTCAAGTCTGAAAAAATGAAAGTTAAGTCTTTCAATGATGAAGGGTTAGCTATTTATGGTTCCATTAGGCTCCTATAGAGGTGGCAAATGGATGAATCAAATAATTTTTTCGTTGGATTATAATGGACCGGATTAAAACAATCCATTAATCCATTTGGATTCATTAAAAAATTATTTAAAGATCTAATCCATCCGATGCATTTAAGGAAGGAAAAAAATGCCTAATCCATCCATTAACAAATTTCTTATGGATGAATATCCGACCCATCCATGAAAATGTTTTAAAAGTTAAATAATTTTTATTTTTGAAATATTCTCTTTCTTTATCTTCTCTCTATTTGTTCTCGCACTCTCTTGTCTCTATTTTTGGCTATTCACACAATTAATGTCTTAAATTTAATAATTTTTTTGTCATTATATTACCTACAAAACTTATGTCTATTGCAAATTTAACATGCTCCATCTGTGGTGGTTGTTTATCCTCCAATGAAAGTGAGATTTCATATTCATCTGGCAATAAAAAATTGTATTAGTTTTATTTTCTTTAACAAAATCCAAACCTTATCATTTTTTTTTTGTAATCTTTTTCTTTCAATAGTAATGTTGAATGTTTGCTAAAAATCTATGGAGTCCTTACAAATCTTATAAATCCATAGTCTTTTCAAATCTAATAAATTTTTATAATAAATTCAAATCTAAATTTCTAAATTTAAATTATAAAAGTCTTTAAAAATTATCTTATAAGTCATTAATTTTATGTAATCTTTTAAAATACGCTCCCCTTATTGTAATCCAATGAATTTTGAATAAATAGCGGATGGATCACGATCCATCCATAAAATTAAATGGATGGATTAGATCCAATTTATCATTATTATATTTGTGTAATGGATGAATGGGATGGATGATGAATAAATGAATTGTTTTGCCACCCTTAAGCCCCTATCGGCCTATCATATGTTAATAGAATTGTTAGAACAGTTGTAACTAACTAAAGTTAGTTACTTCTAAGATGGCTTATTGTTACATCAATTTCCCTATTGATATACAGTTATTACATACTAACACTTTACTCTATTACTAACTAACTAACTATCTAATGGGTATCTACCAGGTACCCTTATACATGCAACTTGGGCTATCATCTTAAATTATGTCTCTTTGCTCATCTTGTTCTCAATTTGGTACGGAATAGATAGTATTGTTTCTATTAATTATGTCTCATCATCGATTGCTCCTCTTGTTCTCAGCTTGGGTATCATATTTATTTTTCATAAAATATGTCTATGTATTGTCATCAATAAACGTCACAAACCATTTAGCACTAGAGATAAATTTCACAACGGGTCCCCACACATCAGAGTGTATTAAGTCAAAAGGGAAAGAACTCTTATTACCACTAATTGGAAAAGAGGGTGTTTAAAAACTGACAAACATCACAATTAAATGAATCAACAAAAACTTTTGTAAACAAATGCCGTAACAAAGAATTAATAAGACTAAAAGGAGGATGTCCAAGTCTCTTATATTGAAGCCATATTTGAGAGGTGGCCCAAGTATCAATCTTCGCATGGTGGCTTGAGGTTGACTCCATGTTCTTGTCACCATTCCTTTTCTGCTTTAGGAAGTATAACTCACCCTACTCTTTATCAATTAAAATTGTCTTCCTCATGGCCAGGTCCTGAAAGGAACAATGAGAATGAAAAAAAGTTACTCAACAATTCAAGTTTTTTGTGAGCTTTTGTATAGAGATAAGACTGTTAGTCAATTTCGGGACATGTAAGACATTATGTAAGAAAATAAAGGGCTCAAGTTGAATGCTTCCAGAGCCAATAATGGACACGCTATCTCCATTAGCAATTGTAATGAATTGTTTGACATTTGTTTTTGGAATATGATGCAGTAAGTGAAGGGAAGGGGATCTTGTGATTTGTTGCTCTAGAATCAAGAATCCAAACTCTTTGAGAAATGAAGCATGAAGTATTGAAAGTACTCTTACCCTTCATGGACAGTGTACATGAGTTAGAGGGTTTACTCAGATTCAATCATCATTCTTAGATGATCAATCTCTACTTACATGCTGTAATATCTCGTTCCAGTTGAAAGGGAGGGGAATTTGCATCGCCCATGGATGAACTCAAAAATAAATAGGAGAGAGTCAAAGAACTCAAATCTGTGTTAAACAAGAAGGATGTAGACGTTCCTTTTTGGCTCATTGCTAACTCCAATAGTGGCCGTGCTAGCGGTGGAGAGGGTGACAACAACTCTGATTTTTCTGATAGGATCTCTGCTACCAAGTTGAAAGTGAGGATTCTATTAATTTGTTTCTCACTAATTACATTCTTCTCTTACCCTATTATAGAGATACATTTTTCCCTAAAACAGATAACTATGAAAATAAACAAAAATAAAGGAAATAAGGAAAGATTATAAAATAATATCAAATCTCCTAAGATACTCCTATTTACAACACATATTCCTTTACCTCCTAGAAATTCAGGGTTTTTAAGAACACCCCTATCTCGTTGATTTGCATTTCAAATTATTCAGCTTGGTATCAATTAAGAAGAAAAGAAGTGCCTTTTTTAATGATTTTTTATTGGTAAACTGGTCGGTTTTAGGGTTTATGCAATTTCTATTGTTAATTGATTTATATGCGTTTTCCATTATTGAAATTCAGTTCTATTGGTTCGTATGTTGTTTTATTTGAGTAATCTAATGCCTCTTGTATCTAGGGTTTGGGGATTTAGGGGATTTTAGCCCATGCTTTGGTGTTTATTGACTTCTGAAACAAATTCAAATGATGTTTGTATGTGGGTTGTTGAAAAATTATGTAGTCCTAGTTGGTGTGATGCATAGAAATTGGAATTAATGTATTTTTGATAAAGAACATTGATGATGATGATGTTCTTGAACTTTATGATTCTGTGCTCTTAGAAATGGTGCTTTATTGACTTGTAGGCCAACCTATAGTAAAAATCATATTAATGTCTTCAAGAACGTTGAGGAGAAGACTCCATCATGGGGATGTTGATGGAAAAAGGCAGGAGCATTTCGAGACTTCGGGATTAGATTCTTTGAGTGAGCCATTGCTGGCAGATGATGATTATGTTGAGAATAAGAAGGTGAGAAACTGTTTATTTTAAATGGGGATGGGGGCAAACTGAATTCATTTTTTAGTTGTGCTTTTATGTTGTGATTTATATTTCTAACTTTCTATGTCATACAGATATGTACACTTGAAGATCCATGGGACGATGAGAGGAAGAAGGCACAATTTCATTGGACATTCATATTCTCAAACCTCATTGTGCAATGGGCACAGTGGTTAGGTATGTGGATGACTGTTTTGGCTTGCCTCTCAGCTACAAATATAATGAAACTTGATAGTATGGCAATTGCATAGTAGGTTGTTTCACTTTTGTTTTTTCGTCATGAGTGTTTTCATTAACTATAACTAAGCTAATGATGTTTTATTTATTTTCTCCTATTAGAAAGTTGTCCTATCTCTGGCATATGCTGACTTGACACATTTACTATTAAACATAATAGTTACCATTCACACATTCTCTGCTCAAGCGTTTGTGGACATTTTTTTCATTAGTGGTAGTTATGGGGCGGATAAAATCCAATGCTCTTGGCACTCTTCACATAATAAAAGTCTTTCTTTCCTTTGCGATCTTACATTTAGAGTGGTAACTAAAACAACCAGTCTTTCAGCTGTGAACATTGCATAGTTGAGCATTTTAGATGTAACTTGTAAGTATTAGTCAAATGAACTGACAAAGGACGATGATTGATGACAGACTAGTTTTTGAGTTTGGGGGCACATTCACATGGTGATTGGTGTTGTACAAATGACTTATGAGGTTTGAAATCGAAAGAAAATTAATGATATCTCTTTTACTTGTGGTCTTACATTTAGAGTGGCAACTAATATGATCAGCCTTTGGGCTGTGAACATTGCATAATTGAGCATTTCTGATGTAACTTGTAAGTATTAGTTGACTGAACTGATGAAGGACGATTATTGATAACAAGCTAGTAATTGAGTTTTGGAGCACATTCACATGGTTATGACCTATGAGGTTTGAAATCTAAAGCATAGAAATAGAAGGGTAGCATTGTCTCGAAATATGTAGTTTTTGAAAATACATGAACTTACTATCAGAGGGATTGTTTACATTATTCATTTCCAAGAGCCTTGTTTTATGATACTTGGAAAAAAGTATGAACCTATACTATAAGTAGTTAATAACTTAATATTATTGGTTTTATGTATGTTTGCTACATATCTTTTCCTCATTGTTGACTGGTGTACATACAATTCAGGAGACAAACATGCAGCATGTCATGATTTTAATGGTGATTTTATGACCTTTAACCTTATTTTATATTGTTTTTGCAGCAAATGTTGTACTTGGATCTGGATCTCTTATTGGGCGACTTTTATCATTTCCTTCTTCTGCTTTAAATATGCAAAACAATAAGATCCTTCCTCCATCTCTAAGCCCTCTACAGGTATATCTAGTGAAATCTTATTTGGAATTCTGATGTGCTTGTTTTAGTCAAACTCATGCTAGTATGTAACCAAATTCTACTTTAATCCTTTGGAAAATTAATTCATATGATTTTAAATTTTATATTTTGTATTTTCTATAATATAAATGCCATAAATTTACAAACCTTATCTAAAATACAGTTGATCTAAATTATGAATTTAGATCAATCTCCATCAAAGCCCCTAACTTCACCACCCTTCTTTTGAGAATGAAATGGTGCCAAGGAAATTCTGATAATAAAATCAAGTCTGTGATAGGATATTATCACTGGGTTTAGTTTAATATTGCTGCAGTGTCTTGAATGTTTGCAGTAAGGCGTAGTTAAGCAGTCAATATTTCTTTGAAATTTGATTTGTATTTGGTTGAATTATAAATGGAAAGGGAAAATTTTGAGATTTCAGAGACCTATTTTCCTCCTTTTATAAATATGTTTACTCAAACATTTGATTTGTTGAGATTTTTGGTTCTTTTGTTTTCTGTAGTTTTTTTGACTGTTTTGATTGTTGTGGGGTTTGTATGTTTGTTGTTGTTATTAAGAATATTATTATTATATTGCCGCTTATTTTTTATAGCTTTTAACTGCCTGTTTTTCTTGTTTATAGCTATTAGTAGATGTATTTCACATGCATTTCTTTTTTAGGAAGAAAGACTAAGAAGCCTACGACAAAGGCTTGAAGTACCCTTTGATGGTTCTAAAGCAGAGCACCAAGTATGTAATTAATACATTTTTTGTTTTCAATCTCACTTTACTGACATTTGCCTCTATATCCTGCATTCAATCTGATTTATTTTTCACCTAGTTTGATCCTACTGCTATCATCATGTGTACCTTTTGGTATCATTAAGCTGATTTTATATTTTGTTCTGCAACCTACATACATGCTTGATATACAATCTTAATGTGTTTGAACTGGAATGTCAGCATGGTAAACTACTTGACTTGCAAATGCTTACATACGAGGATAGACAATTTTTTTAAAATTAAATTGCCTTCCATAGATGGATTGAGAGGTGAACAAGCACAAATGACTATTTGTTGCATTTGGTATAGCATATGTATCTAATCTGCCCATTGGATGTTTATGAATATCTATATATAAATAGTCAATAGAATATGTAATAGAAATTTTTTTCTATTGATAGTAGGATGACATTTTTTAATTTGTTTGGCTGCAGGATGCACTTAAACAGTTGTGGAAATTGGCCTATCCTGACAGGGAGCTTCCTTCTCTTAAATCAGATCTTTGGAAGGAAATGGGATGGCAAGGATCAGATCCTTCAACTGATTTTAGGTTTGTAATAAAAAATTGCATTGTACTTTAAGGAGAGAGGGTGAGAGCTTGAGTATGGATAGAGTTTTATTTAGCATCAGGCCAAAGAATGAAAACATTATTTGATACCATTAAGGCTTCATGGGTTTACTAATAATAGGAAATGAATGAGAACATCCTGACCCTCTTGTTGATTACCGTAATAATCATGGACTAACACCATCCTTGTAGGTTTTACTTCTAGATTTGTGTCATTAGAGAATCTCATTCTAACCATGGTCTGCAGGGGTGGAGGATTTATATCATTAGAGAATCTCATCTTCTTTGCGATGAAGTATCCGGTAAGTTTCTTCCATTGTATTTGCATTTAAGCACACATTGCCCTTGCTTAATGAATAGATTTAATATTTCTTGTTAATATATTATATTAATTATTCTTTTCATTATATATAAAGTTGTAATTTGCTCACGCATTTATCTCTCAAGATCAAATTCTAACCTCATTCTTGTTAAAAAATAGTGTTTTTAACTTTATAACCTTTGTTGTACACTTCTACCTACTTGTGCATGTTTGAAATTGTCACATGATTCACTTCGACTTAGAAATTACCAGATCGCAATATAATATTCCATTGTGATTTAAGATATTAAGCTATTATATTTTACGCATTTGCAAACTATCTGCATTAAACACTTGTGTAAAAACAGCAAGTTTACACATTGTGTTACATACTTTATTAAGTAGCAAGATTTTGTTTAGTCATGCACATTTCTACTTGTCACTTTTATAGGATTCATTCCAACGATTATTGCATAAACAAGATGGAACCAGAGCTGATTGGGAATATCCATTTGCAGTAGCTGGAATCAATATTTCTTTCATGTTGGCACAAATGCTGGATCTTCAAGCAGGTAACATATTCTCTTAAGAAGAAATTCAGTAGTTGTAATGATGCTTATTTTATGCTCTAAGTAGTTAAATTTATTATAGAATATCGTTTCACCTTGCCACCTTCACAAATTAGTATTAATTTTGTGGGGTTTCCTTATTTGTTCTCAGGGTTGTTTCACCTTGCCACCTTCACAGATTAGTATTTATTTTGTGGGGTTTCCTTATTTGTTCTCAGGGTTGTTTGTTTATTGCTCACATATACATCATATTTGTTTACTCGTCTGAAGCAACTATTTTCCTTGTAGGGCTTCCATCTTCTACGTCAGGTGTTTGTTTTCTTAAGTTGCTTGAGGAGGATGAAATGGCATTCGATATCCTTTTTTGTGTTGCCTTTCAAATGATGGATGCTCAATGGCTAGCAAAGCGTGCAACATATATGGAATTTAATGTAACATATCATTAAATTGTATTTGTTCATTGCTCAATTATTTTTATTTTTCTGTGATAGTTTTCTTGATACATTTATGATTTGTTTTCATTAGGATGTTTTGAAGTCCACAAGAACACAGTTAGAGCGTGAGCTTGCGCTTGAAGACATCTCTAGCGTGAGAGATTTACCTGCTTACAACATGTTGAGATGATTGAGGATTGCCATTTAATTCAACGTTTCTCTCTTTTGTTATCCCTCCTTACATGAAATGTATCTAAATCATCTGACACTTAATTTCTATATAGAAATGTGAAAAATCAATTGATAGTGGGTTTGCAAATATCATTTCAATCTTTTTGTTGATTTCCAACACCCTTTCATTTAAGCATGTGTTTTCGCATTTTGGAAATTCATAAAATTTCTGTTTGTAATAATTTATAAACTTTTATGAATTTTACTGAAGTATAATATGCTGGTGTAGAAGCCATAGTCTATAATTGAAGTCTTATAAAGCAAGTATGATAATTTGTGAGTAGTGAGTCTATATTTGAGAATCGAAGATGATAATCGCACACATACATAATAATCACATGATAAAACCCGATAGAGTTGGGTTTAAAATTTTAAATTTGATCCTAAACTTAGGGACACGAGTAGGGAGAGCCAAATTTGTTCGTAACTTGCTTTCTCGTCATCCCTATCCTCAAATCTTACTTTTCCACTTAGGGATGGTGCAAGGAAATGGTCAATTAATGGGGAAATGTCATAAATTTTGTTTATTAAATCCAATAGACTAAATCATTAACAAGACATTGTCATTTTATGTCATAATTTATTTAATATAAAATTATGATAATGTCCCTGATTGAAAAAACTTTAAATGAAGCCAAGCCAAATTATTCAAAAGAACAACTCTTACTTTGTGCCTAGTGGCCCATTCTATACATTATTGTAGTGAACCAAGCATTTTAGTTTCTTGTCCTTGGGTATAAACCAAATAAACAAACTTGTATTTTTGGTGGGGAAAATAAAATAAAACGGTAAAAATATGTTCTCCAATAAAGATTAACAAATAAATGACCATAAAATAACTATCAAGCAATCTCTTGTGGCGGAATACAAATAATGACAAGATATAGATAGGAGTCTGAAACTAATTATTTGATGTAATTGTTTCATGATCAAGATCCACCTTGGACCACTTATTAATACGATTACGAGCTATAATTACCTGCAGTAATATAATGATTTCATTAGTTTTTATATCTCATTGTGATTTGCTTCAAAGGGAATCTAGTAAATAAGAAGCAACGAGAGGAAAATGAATCAAATACCTGCTCATCCCAATTAGTTTTGCAGGTTATTATAATGAGGATTATCGTCTGAATTAGTGTCCCAAGCAACATTCCAATCCAAATACCCTACAAAAGAAGAAGTGTCCAATGATCATGAAATACGAAATAAGTGCAACTTGGAAAGGAGGGAAGAATACTACAAAATCCTACCTTGACTTTCCAGTTAAAAATGTTACCAAGTACCATTCCAATTGGAATACCTATGATGTAATAACACCCTATATTCACATATGCTACAATGCTTTGCCACCCTGCTCCAACAGCAACCCCTGTTCAAATCATATAATTTCGTGGCTTTCAAATTCTTTGAGAAAACACAAACCGGCCAAATAACAAATTAATTTGGTTTTATCATGTAAAACAATAGGATTCAAAATCTTAAACAAATTCTTTAAACCAAGAAACCAAAAGTTGCAAAACATACCTGAGAGTACAGGTTGAACACTATTTAATAACAAAGAAATTGCTAATAAAGGTGACAAATCCCCAACAGCAATGACCACGTCTTCATTTGAAGTAAACACATAGGCAACTCTTTCTCTAAAAAATAAGAAAAATAGAAATAAGACGAATCCAATTGTAAAGGATGTAACTACTGTCACAACTATAGAGAACTTTGCGGCTTTTGAGCTTCCTCTTCCAAGTTCATTTGCCACTCGAACACTGTAAATTAAGAAAGAAAAAGTTTATATTCCATGCTAAGGAAACAATATTTCATTATGTTGTAGATAATGATACAAACAAGAGAAGTGATTCACTTACTTCAAAAATAAGTCTACTTAGATTTACTTTACTTAATAACTCATATTCTACATCAAATTTTAACGATCTAATGTTAAATTAAAAGTTCTTATTATATAAATCAAATCTATAAATTTTAAAATTTTTTGAAAACTATTTGAGACTTCATTCTTTTGATTCAAATTAACAGATAATTAATCATTAAAATATTTTATATATTAATTTTCAATCTTTTTAAAAATTCGTAAACTTAATTTATGCGTTAAGGATTTTTAGTTATAAAATATAAATTATCGAGGAAAGTAAGTCTAAGTATACTTATTTTTAGAATAAGTGAATCCCTCCTCTACAAACAATGACTAAAAACATTATAAAAGGAAAGGATGTCATTACCTAGATGCGGCCATAAAACCAAATGATATCATCATTTCCCATCCGTTGATGTTAAGACTGTAAATAATTAAATTTTATCTTAAGCAAGCCAAGAAATAAGAGTCTACTATATGGTCTAGCCAATACTCACACAACCAACAACATAAAATAATTTTTCAACACAAATATGTTACAATGTAAAGGATTACCATATAGATAGAGCATCAATTTCAACCTCTGCATTTTTCATGTTGCCAGTCAAAAGAACTAATATCGTGTTGTACCAAAGCTCAAGACTGTAAAATATACAACAATATGAAGTTAGTAAGCTTAGATGTTAATCTATTCATAATTCCATATCGTAAAGGAAATCCAAATTTATTCAGTAACCATGACATTTCTAAGTTGATAGTGAAGAAAACTCACCATAACATGACACCAGATGAAAGGGAAAGCTTCACCAAAGGCCAAAGATCCTTGAATGCTAAAAATGAGAAGCCATGCCATGTTTTTGGGCACCAACCACATGTAATAAATATTAGTTGACCAATGTTGGGAATCCAGTATGCTAAAATTGTTGAAGTCATTGCCCCAGGAATCCCAAGCTTGAATTTTATTGTCAATAGCCAAGAGAGGAATAAATGAATAATTATTGAGAAAGCTGCCAAGAATGAAATAATAACATTCTTGTTTTGAGATTGCAAGAATGTCTGACAATTGAATGAGACAATGTAAGCAAATAAGATTGGGATTGACCAAAGGGAAATTGTTCCTGCCGCTTCTGCTATACTTTTTTCTTGGCCTAAGATTACCATGATTGGGGTTGTAAAGATCAACAAGGGGAGAAGACATAGTGCAGTTAAGAATAAAACTATCCATGATCTTTGAAGATACACTCCCATCATGTCATATTCTTTTGCACCGTATGCTTGTCCACAAAGTGTTGTCAATGCACTTGCCATTCCTAACTACAATTGTCAGTTACACAAATATTAATAAAAGAATGCAATAACCATATGTAGGTGAAGTATAAACACAAACACATATTATGTTGAAAGCTCACTCATCAACAAATTTACATAATTTTGAATATCGTGATAGATGATGTTCACAAGCCTCAACTTTTTAATTTAGTTTTGTCCCATCAATCTTTGCTGTATTTGTTTTCTTATTACCTGAGATTCACTATTGACTAAAATCACTATTTGCTACTTTATATAACTCCAATAGATTAAACCAACCAAAAACAAAAGTCAAGAAATGTAATTTATTTTTTCGTGACAGAAAGAAGAGATCATTATTTCTTTGAGTTGATGTATACAAGATATTGCTTAAAATCTAAAAGGGTTGTTAGAATCTTTTGATGGAAGCTTACCATTATCTGCAACTGCAAGTCTTTGTTGTTGTTATGTTATGTATATATTTATGTGTGCAAGTATGTATATTACGGTTCTGATTCGAATCCTATTGTACTTGCTAAGGTTTCCATTCTAGGTTGTTTCTCGTGGTCTCGTTCCCTAATTAATTGATTTCTTTTGTTATTAATGGTATCGTTCCTTCTATGTTGCCAATATAGAACTATTTATAGTGTTTCGATTATTGTACATGTATATATCATCATCTTCTTTGAGGGTTTTATTAGAATATTAGTTGAGGGCTTGTGAAGTATGGTATGAAATAAGAGAGTTTGTATACATATGACACATTCTAATTATTTCTAGTCCCTTGAGGATCATCAATCGTAGTGGTTCTCGGTTGGAAAAAGGTAAATGTTTCGCTTGGTTTTATCTACCCATTGTCCACCTAGATGAATGATTAATTATGTGTGTAAACGTGGTTAATTTTACTTCATAAGTGATTAATAATACGTATAAAATTTGAACAAACGCCACTTCAGTTCAGAAGTTAATTTTACGAGATTAAGCATGTTCAATTTCAATAAAATAACAGTTTTTACTAATTCATTGGACTTGTTGCACGAAATTTATGATCGTACTAATACTAGAGTATATTAAAAAGTAGATATGGATGAAAGTTAATTATTCAAAAATAACTTGTAATTTATATATTTTGTGAGTGTAAGAACATACCAGAATACCATTGGCAAAGCGTATGAGGACAGTGAATACAAGAGCAAAAGCAGCGAGTTGCGTTGAGCCAATATGGCCAACAAATGCTTGGCTTATGACACTGATACCAAAGGTGGTGAACCTTGTGAATATGCCTGGTGCTGCCACTATCCACATAACCTTGCTCTCTTTCCATACCCTCTTAGCCAAAGATTCTTCCTCTTCTTCTGATGCTTTCTCTCTTCCAAGAAGCAACTTCTGCTTTGGATTCCCTTCCATTTAGTCTCCTCAACCTTTTGCTCATGCACGTACTCCCAGTGCCAGATACAGACCGATCATGCACACAGACTAAACTCAAACAATTATTTGGTTTTTTCTTAGGTCAAAAGTTCTAGCTATTACATCGATCAATACCAGCCACAGTAGATCCAGCCATTTAGACAAACTTTCAACACACTTATTTTATTGGTTATTATATATATATATATAGAGAGAGTAGTGTTAGTTTTTAATTAATTGTTCTTTTAATAAAATAATTATCTCTTTCTAGTTACGTAGGCAGGGACAGACCTCACTAGGGTCCTACGTACTATTATATTATTATTATTATTATTATTATTATTATTAAGTTGAATATATATAATATAATATTTTTACACTTAAATATGTTTTAGTCTTTTGATTCTTATAAAATTTTTATTTGTTTTTTTTTATTTCTTTAAAATTTAAAAATAGTGTTTTAGTCTTTATTACTATATGTGACTCTTTTTAACTACTTATGTGTTTATTAGAAGATAATTATATTAATTATTTTATCTTGTTAAACAAATTATGCTACTAGTGTTGTAAAATGTATCTTGTGAGTAACACGATTTATTTTGATTTATGAAATTTTAAGGATATAATTAGGATATTTTTTTTCAAAAATATATTATTAATGTATATATCAATTAATATTTATTATAAATTCATAAAATTTATTTGACATATGCAACTAATAATTAACATTTTTAATATTATGTATTCAAAACAAAGATATTTGGTTTGTCTTTTTTATAAGCACTTTTTTTTATTAATCTGATAAATCATTATTATATATAACATTTTGAAATATACAATAATAAATATTTTATATAATTTAATATTTATACATATGATTTAAATACTTTTTATCTATGTAAAATGAGTGAATTTTGATTTTGATGATTGTAAAATATTTTTCTTTAAATTAATTTCATCTT